TAAATGTCTTTTTTCGGTGGACAACGTTAATAAATTGACTGTATATATAAATGCCATATTAAATTCATATTAATTCATAAATGTCTTGGAATAAAAATTTAAAAAATTAAAGGTTTTAACTATCTAACTATCCACAGGTAAAGAGATCACACGCTCGCGAACTTATTTTCGCAACTATGTTTTGCCTGTRTCCCTTGGGGGTCTGCGGAAGACCAGCTTCCTCCCACTCGCTGCAAAACCAGCAGACCACCGCCTATTGCAAGCTACTCGAGCCCCTACTCCCCTACCCCTCCCCCTCTAATCACTGACCACCGCATAGTTTTCTAATCCTATCCAAACATGATCTTCTTTAACAAATRCACGTCGGATGAAAGTGTAGGAAGGTGAAGGTTATTTTAAAGTGCAGTCAATAAGCATATCTCTTTTGGGAATAATGTGACTATCATTATTGAAATCCTAGATATATTTCCGCTCGCTTATTAAGATCAGGTTCTTACTTGGACATCAGCTTACTTCAGACTTACATTATTATTTACTTTTACTTTATGAGGGTCACGAAAGGGAGTGCGATAGGGAGGGGGGGTGGGGTAGGGTGGTTGTTACCCTCGATTTGTAGAAATAAAGTGATAAATACAAAAAACTTACTAGGGTGCTCGACAGGGCAGAAAAACGGGTTCTACTTTCGACGCTTATGCGTTAATAAGCTTTATATTTCATAAACAGGCTCTTTTGGGGCTTATTGACAAAATACCAAAATTTTGGGAATTTAAGGAATGCGTATTTGAGATATAACGCCCTGAACGTTGGGAGAGATGATGTTTTGATCAGCACAAAAACTAACATTTTCGCTAATACCTCGAAGTAGAATTGCTCGAGGTTTGCAGAATTTTGTGAAAAGTTTAAAGCACAAGAGACACGAATGAAACACTAAACGTTTTTTAGCATGAATGACTGAGAGATAAAGAAAAAAATTGCGAAAGTAGCAGCCTTGTCGTTTTTCTGCTCTGTCAGAGTGCTCGCACTAAACCCGTGGAACAAATACTAATTTTAAGTACTAAATAGTGATAATCAAACAATAGGAAACAAAGGATTCTCTACGAGTTACTGCTAATTAGTACTAAATATTATTCAAGTGTTTAGTGCGTGCACTCTACCATTCTTCAATAACTTCTTGAGAAGCTTGTCGAAATTTGAACTTAAAAACCCACTTACACTGGCGATTTTTGCGGCGATTTTTGCGGCGATTTTTGCGGCGATTTTTGCGGCGATTTTTGCGGCAATTTTCGGAAATATGAAATCTTTTGTCTCATCCTTCAAAAGAGACATTCGTCTAGGAAAATCTTGGTATCCTGAAAAAACTTTGCAAGTAAATTTTTTACCATTATTTATTGTGGACAAAATCGCAAAAACAAATTGCAGCAAAAATCGCCGCAAAAATCGCCGCAAAAATCGCTAGTGTGAACAAGGCTTAAGACGTTTAATGACGAAAGAAAAGTGGCGATATTTGTTATCAATAGAGGGCTGAGTATTCAATCCCTGTTKCTTCGAATGAAAATATAACTAGGATTCAGGAACAGTGAAAGTA